AGGGAAGAAATGACAGATGGAGAGAAGGGGAACGATCTTGCATCATTGGCATTATTAGATTCTGCCCTCCAGGTCTCCGTGTCTGGTATATGTTGAAAACGAATTTTTTACTCATGTGATTCTTTTGTCTGATACTTCAGAGGCCTCAAAACAAAGGTGGCCTCCCAGTACTTTCATTGACCCGGAAGAATGAAGCCTATTCCAGCGGACACTTTCTCAGCATCCATGTCTCACACTGGGGTCCTATCACGCCTCTATGACAGGACATTATGGAGGACCCAGGAGGTAGAGAATGTAGCATGACCCTACATCAACTCTTTCTCAGGTGGCTCACCTCTGACCCTCAGGAAACCTGTATACCCTCAGGAAACCTCAACAAACTCTGAGAATGCAGGCCAGGCCCAACGCAAGGTAACTCTCTTTCACCACTTGCCAGCCAGCATCTCATTCTCTAAATTTCTAGCAGGGATCAGGTAGACTGGGCCTTCAACTGCTGTCCATATGATCTCGTCAAGCCCCTCTTTCTAGGCTTGCAGTGAGAGACAGGACTTCTGGTTCTATCCCTTTGATGAAAAAGGGACACAGCACACCAGTAGCTCTTTCCAAAGAGATCCACTTCAAGGATCCTCTCACAAGCACTCCTTTCTTGACCTTCTTTACTCTCAGTTGCATCTGCTGAAATTTGCAATTTAGCAAGTACCTTTCAACACCCAAATAAAGTCAGCTTTTAGACAGTGGGAGTACAAAGAATAAGGAGGATTCTCTTAAATAGTTTAATTGTACTTGTGTTGGCTTTAAATTATATTTCCTACCTTTGAAAAGCTGCGCTGAGGTATGTGCAGCAAATTAAGAGATTCCCAGAATGTTGAAGGGAACGTTGGTCATATCACAACTAATTTGCTTATTTTACACAAGAGAGATCTGAAGTCCTATAAGAATTATCCCAAAATATACAATCTAAGACATAAATCACTGAGTTTTTACTATATTAATACCAGAGAAGAATATATTTTAAAATTATTTTAAGAAGGCAGGACTGGCTTTCATTGAATATCATATCACCCACTTTGCTAGACACTGCCTAGCGACACTTGACAAATGGTCCCTCCCCTTCTGGGCTCCTTCCTGTATTACAAGAAGAACTGAAAAGCTCAAAACCATGTTTCTAAGACTTCCTTGCAGTTAGGACTCGGATGCTATCATATTTTTCCAGTGAGATAGACATCTAGGTTCAGAAGGCAAAGGGGAGCAGAAGCTGAATTTCCATGACTGTGTTGATGGGAAAACATCTTCTGACAGATGGGTTCATATCAGCTGAACTCTGTCTCCCCAGTTCATGAGTTAGAGGATCTCTGGATGATAGCTCCAGTAGTGTGATCTTGCCAGGCCTGTGGTAGCCCCCTGGTTTCTGCTCCCTCAGCCCTTCTGTCTGTTGCACCCACTAATCCTCTTCTTCGTGAAATAAATTATATCCTCTTCTTCGTGAAATAAAGTGGTTTCTACCTTCTGCACTAAATCATACATATACAAGGTAGGACTCCAAAAAACCTGGAATTTATTTATAAGAAATTGTGTATTTATTCTTACATGTTTAAACTTCAGTCACCTTCAAAGTACTCGTCGTTTGATGCAATACACCTATCAAGATACTTTTTCCACTGCTCAGAACAGTTTTTAAACTAGTCAATTTTGATGCCTTTTAGTGCTTCTGCTGTTTTTTTGTTTCATCTCTCCCACATCAGCAAGACATTTTCCTTTGAGGCCTTTTGTTTTTGTTTTTGTTGGGGGGAAACAAAAAAAAGTTGCTCAGGGCAAAATCAGGTGAGACATGGAGGCCATGCTGAACACTCAGTGTGGTTTGGGCATTTGCACTCATAAATCATTCATCATGAAATGGGCAAATGCATTGAAAGAGTCTCCAAAAACAATTCACTGAAGCCGAACACAGCCTCTCACAACAATGCTAGCCGGTACACTGATGACAATGGGTTTCTAGAACCCTTAACCCTGTACTTCAAGGGGCCTGTCCTCCAAAAAAACATTCTATTTTTGGGGTGTCCCCCTCATATGTATATAAATCATAACATAAAATCTTAAAGATTACAGTACCTTCTTTGAGGCATTAAGCCTACAATCAGTCAGCAGATCCCCAGATATGTAATTCCCAAATCTCTCTTGTGTCTTGCCTCTATTCTCCATTCCCCTGATGCTATTCTACTTTAGATCCTCAGCATCTCTGGCCTAGGCTATTATAACACAACAACCCCAAATCTGAGAGAGGTTGTGTGCAAGGTACTTTATCTATTCCAAAGAAGTCACCTGAAGGTCCAGTAGGGAGAGACACTGATTTATTAGAACTTACAAGAGGAAGAAAGAATTCACATTGCAGGACAGTACAGCAAGCAGTTTTATAATCAAGCAAGTCAACCTGCTACAAAGCAAATTATTCAACTTGCTACAAAGTTGTTACAATCACAGTAAGGGTGCCTCCCACACTGTTCTCATCTCTGCTCAATTACCTGCATGCCATGACTGGTTACTGAGAATATGCATATCTCCTATAGAGACCAGACTTGGCCAGAAGTTACTCCCTGAGGGAGGGGCAGAAAGAAGCCAGATGGAGGGCGCGGAGTCAATGTCCAGACAATTACCTCACGGCTATTGAAATAATGGCCTGAATATTTTATCACCTGATTCTAGTCACCATCTGCTCTAGCCACCATGTAAAACTGATGTTGTCTGACCTTGTCATTTTCTTATTCAACATTTTTTAATGGATCACCCTAATCTAGAGACTGGAACCCAAACCCGCGAGTATGACACTTTAATATCTTTCATAATCTGTGTCCTGCATGTTTAATGCATCTTCTGCTAGCCCATCACCTCATGGTCCAGTCACACTGAGTCAGTTGTCACTTTCCTCTTTGCCTGTTGTGTGCTCCTTGCTCTTTATCCATCTGGCAATCATCTATTCTTCCTTCAAGACTCAGCTGTTTTCTCAATCTCCTTGAGGGCTGTCTTCTTCTTCTTCCAGGGGGACCTAGATACTCCTTCCTGAGTGCCAACACTGCACGGAACCATACTTCCACTGTGATGTTATCACACCTCTCTCCATTAGCCTGCATGGGTCTAGATGGAAACCACTGTGTCTTCTCATTGTTGAGCCCTCCCAGGGCTGCTATAATGCTTGACATATGATAGGCACTCAGTACAGTAAAAGGAATGACAGGAAGAAGAGAAATGGAAGCAGGAAGGGCAGATATAGAAGTGAGAGGGAGCCAGAAACAAGTTGCAGTGACTTCACAGCTCTGTTTACAAACTCATCATCAACAAGAGTTAATGAGACAAGAGATAGCTAAAAAAAAAAGTCTAGGCAGACAGACAGGCTGGTCCTCTGGTAACAATGTAATAAACTCCCAGCAGGCCTCTCAGGCTCAGCATTGGTAAACAAGCTCCCTGCAAGCCTCTCAAGCTAGAACTTAGATTCTCACTGCTGGGATCGAAAAGCAACCAATCGACTCACCATTAGTCCTAACTCCTGCCAATTGGTCCTTAATACTGACCAATCAGAACAGCTACAGCCCACAGCTAGTGTTAGCCCATCGGCTTGGACTTAGGGCTATATAAGCACCAGGTTTTCAGCCCCAGATGGGCAACCACTTAGGGTCCCCTCCCACTGCGAGAGTTTCTCTGTCCTCTCAATAAATCCTGCTTTCTCACTTTCTGACTGTCCATGACCCTATTTCTTCCTGGACATGAGACAAGAACCTCCACCCTGAAGAACTGCAACCCGAAGAGCAGCAGAAGATCATGGGAACCGGCTGAATCAGGAGACCTGCCTGACGAAGGCGAAACTCCAAGGCTGAGACTCCTCAGGGGCTAGGTTTGCCAGCCCATCAAACCAGCAACACTCTCAGGGCTTGGCTTGCAAGCCCATTAGAGCTGACACTTCCGGGGCTAGGTTTACCAGCCCCTTGCGATCCTCTCTGGGGCTTGGCTGGCTGACCCATTGAGCTGACACTATCGAAGCCCAGGCTGACCTGAAAAATCTGCATCATTACTTCAGTTCCTCAAATCAGGCCCTCCTAAGTTTCCAGAAAATTGAGCTGTTTTTCACAGTTGGTACAACAAACCAATCATTATAGTCCAGGTGCATAGCCTTTGTTTATATATTCTATATTTCCAAACCAAAAATAAGTAAAAGAATCATTGTTCCCTTAATCTCCCAGGGGTTTCACCTTACAGCCTCAGTGACCATATCAGTCTTGGTTTTATTTTTTGGAACCAGAACAAAGGACCTCATTCTTGCCCTTCCCCACCCCTTTCTTTCTTTCCTTGACCCACTCCCTCCCCTGTTCATCCCTTATCCCTACCACACTCAGTCCTTCTGTCCCAGATTTTGCCAGGGCTCTATACCATGAAAAACCCAAATAAAATGGAATTTTTACTTTAAGAATAATAACTCCTCCCCCTTTCCCAACTTTTACATCAAAAGACATTGTTAAAGACCATTCTCTTTTGCATTTAGAGAACTACTGATTCTCTGGGGGAGAGAAAGGTGATGGATTAAGAGGTAAGGCCCCTTTGAGCATTCAAAATGAGATGTGATCTGGAACAGAGGATTTCATGCAGACTTTCTTTCTAGTTCTGACTCCATTGTTAGTGCTGAGACCTTGAAGAAGTAATTTTTAATCTTGGCCTGCCAAAGATTCATTTGCAATTGAGAGCATCAGATTGATGATCTTCAAGCCTGTCTTGCTCTAACATTCATTAACTCTGCTATTGTTGATATACTGAATAATCAGGAGAAGCAGGCAGATTTAGTAGCTTATTATAACAAAAACAGTAAAAATAATGAGCATAAATGAGTAATGTGTGTCTCTGATGTCTTATGTTAAAGTGAGGTTCCTGATACAGAAACCTCCGCTGATAATTCCTTTTGGAAAACTGTATTAAAGACACTCTTATGAAGTTTTTTCCAGACTCTCTTATAGGCAAGCATGGGCAAGAGAGTGGCCATCATTGGAGCTGGTGTCAGTGGCTTGGCCGCCATACGGTGCTGTGTAGAGGAGGGGCTGGAGCCCACTTACTTTGAAAGAAGCAATGACATTGGAGGCCTGTGGAAATTCTCGGTGAGTGACATATCACTGGGGTGCCAGAGTAAGGGAGACGAGTTCCAGTGCAAATCACATCTGATCAGGTCTAATACAGATTGAAGAGGTCACAAAAGTTCCAGACCTGGAAAGTAAAATCCTAATTCTCCCATCACGCTAATGTCCTATCATTCAAAACTACTTCACACCAAAAGGGCTCATTCTGAAAAGGACATCTTCAGCTCATCAAGCATTGTCATGGGTGTGGTGGAGTCCAGACCTCCAGACTGTGAAGGGTACTAATGTCAATAATTAGCCAAAACAGACAACATCCTTCCCATGTAACTGAAAGGATTCTGTTCTCTACTGCTCTGAAATCCCCAGAACATGACTGAAAAAAAAAAAAAAAAGACAAACTTGGACTGAGGTCCTGAGGTCAGAAGTCCTGAGATCTAGTCTCAACTCTTAGGTTTTCCAGGCAGATAGATATTAGACAAGTCATTTTTTTAGACCTTAAATGCTCATTTGTCAAATGTAGAAGTTGGAAATTAGGTTACCTCTAATGTGCCTTCCAATACTAACAGAATATGCCTCTATAATTGCTTATGTCTATTAGGTATAAATTACCATAGGTGATAACCGCATGTATTGTATGTGTGATTGTTGAATAGCCTATCAGCTCCAAATCCAGAGAGAAAAATGATGGCTTTTGCCATTCAGGCTCATTGTTATATAAATGATATAACCAGGAAATACTAATTATAAACAGATTTTTTAAAATCTCAAAAACAGGTTTAGAGAAACTTCTAGTCTTTCTGTCCTGAACTTACAATAATTGTGATTAGTTGTAGATGATATATTTTAGCTTGAAGACATTGTTTCCACATCATTCTTCTTGTAACCATATCTGTCTTGGTTTCAGTTATTCCCCAACATGCAACACTGATATATTCCACACTTATATTCATCTTAAAGCTTTTTGTTTAATTTTTGCTTCTGTAACCCCAAAAGTATTATTGCATGAGATATAACATCATTAATTTTTATTTTCCATTAAGAGTAATTAAGAGTTTGGTTTCTTCAAGAATTTAATTTTCTTTGCTTATATTTGTTCAGGGAAATGTGATCAGCTTCTCATGAAATTGTTCACCACCATCTCATTAGTAATTTTTTTTCAGAGACGGGTTCTCACTTTATCATCCAGGCTGGAGTGCAGTGATGCAATCATAGCTCACTGTAACCTCGAACTCCTGGGCTCCAGCGATCCTCCTGCCTCAGTTTCTTGAGTAGCTAGGATTACTGGCTCATTAGTAATAATTAAATGCTGCTTGTGCACCTATTCTTTCAGAGTTTTGTCCTTAGTACTGGGATGAGAACTATGATATAATCATTCTACATAAATGGTTTGTACTCCATTTGATGAAGCAAGTCGTAATATAAATACAGAATCCTTTGATAGCAAATAGACAAAAAAGTCATTTGAGAGCAGAAGCTGTCCTGAAGTCATAAGGTTGAAAAATATGAGTTGAATTGACATGAGACTAAACCTCATTTCGTGTTGCACTGCAGAAATTGTATTGCGTCTGACAGTTGCTACACCAGATCTCACTAGAAATGTTAAGGAGGAAAATCCAAAAAATTTACACAGTCCAAAATATATCTGGCCTTCAGAGTTTTTTTTTTTTTTGAGTTGGAGTCTCACTCTGTCGCCCAGACTGGAGTGCAGTGGCCGCTCCCGGCCACCGCAGCCTCGACCTGCTGGGCTCCGGCGATCCTTCCGCCTCAGCCTTCCAAGGAGCTGGAATTACAGGCATGCACTACCACGCCCGGCTGATTTTTTGATTTATTGTAGAGATGAGGTCTCGCTGCCCAGGCGGGTCTCGAACCCACGGGCTCAGGCAATCCACTCACCTCAGCCTCCCAAAGGCGCGGGATTACAGGCTGAGCCACCGAGCCCGGCTCCTTCA